CGGTAAGTTTCCTTGTGTCGACAAGCCCCGAGTCGTTAGAGTAGGGCCCGAGCCATAAAGCCCCTACATTTCAGGGGGGTTGGGATCTAGGGTTTTTGCCCAGGACCATCTTTACCCAATAGTGGACTCGGAAGGGGGGGGGGCACTTTAAAGATGGGAAACTGAGGGACAGAGCAGGAAAGTCACCAGCCAGAAATCAACACGGTGAGTCTGGTGCCAAAGCGAGGAATAAAACTCCGGAGTCCCGACTCCCAATCCCTCCATTCTCCCCACTAGAGCCCACTCCCCTTTCAGAGCTGGGGAGAGAACCCAGAAGTCCCAGCTCCCAGACCCACCCTGCTCTAACCGCTAGACCCCGCTCCCCTTCCTTAGGCACGAGAGCATGAAGGGATCTTAGTGTAACAAGCCGGAAATGCCTTACCTGGCTAAACCAGGCCAATTCTTCAACATCCTTCAAAGGAGCCCACAAAAGGACACAGTTCTGTCCCACTTTCCCTGGCGGGGCTAATTACCCCTAACGAGGGCCATTAGCGCTAATCACCTCTTTATAGCACATGTTGGAGCATTTCTGGTGGCAATTGGGCCCACATGGCTCTGACTTCAGCAGCCGAAAAATCAGGCCCATGATGCAAAGTGCTACTGTCCCCCCCTGCCTAGGGGAACCCCCTTCTCTTTTGTAACTTGCCCTGTAGTGGGGATGTGAAACATACAAGCCATTCAGCCCCGTATCCGGCCCCTGGAGTGACTGGGTCCAGATCGTACTTGTAACCCAGAGGCAGTTTCTCCGTTCTCCGGCACCCAGTCCAGCCATTCACCCCAGTGCTCCGTGGCTGTAAAACATTACGCAGGGAGCATTCTCCACTCGTTTGATGTAGGGTGACACAGAGCCAGTAGGTAAATCGTGTCTAGCCCTGGGATTTGCCCTAGTTCAGAGAACCCAGGCGCCCTGCTTCCCATCTGCCCTGCTCTAACCACTACCCATCCCTCTAGCCCCTAAGCAACGCTTAACCCTTCCCTCCTGGCCTCATCCCAGCTTGGCTCATTCCGTTTCTGCCTCCCTGAATTCCCTCCTGGCAGTTGGAGACGTGACTCTTCCCCGCTTGCTGTCCCGCGGGGTTTGCGGCGCGGCTGTTGTAAACAGCTGCCGTGTCCTGCCCCAGAGGCAGCTGCATCATCGTGACTGTTTCAGTGGTGGGTCCTGACGGTAACACGCTTTGGGAGGGGAGACACTGGAGGGGTGGTCGAGAGCTTACAGTCCGTCTGCGGGGCTCTGTTTGTCCTCTGGCCTTTGTTTCTTCCGGTGGGAATTCAGACCTGGCTGGCTTCTTAGTCTCTACAGCTGAAAAGCCGGCGTGGAAATAGAAGCTACCGGCCGCCGGGCTGAAAGCAGCTACCTTTATCTCTCCGCGAGGACGATAAATGGCAGCTCCTGTTCAAAAGGAGGCCGGGACTGACAGCGCCGGCTGAATGCAGAGCCGCGTCTCTGGGGTCAGGGCTGGAAAGCACCGGCGACGCTAGGCTGCTGCCGCGGGGAGATAATCCTGGCAGCGTGGCGAGGAGGCTGCGATGCGCGTTTATCAGCAGGACGTTGCAACGGGAGCTGCCTCTTATCCTTGCTGTGAAAGCAGCACGGCAAAGATCCAGACAGCTGTTTCCTCCCCAGCGGAGGGCAGGGGATGAGGCGCAGGCGGGTGGCCGAGCAGGTCGCGGGCTCGCCTGGGATTCAGGAAAGCGGGTGTCCATTCCTGGCTTGGCCCGCTGGCTGACCTTGGGCCGGTTGCAGCCTCTTTCTGTGCCTCAGTTTCCCCATCTGTAAAATGGGTGGAATGATCTGGCTCTACTGAGGAAAAGTGCTATGTGAGAGGTAGGTGTTAATAAACCCCAGATGGGCTGAATTTACACTCCTTGAAGCCAAGGAGATGGGAGGGGGGGGAAGTGGTTTTAAGCCACCTTTCCGCTCCCCCCAAGCTGGCCCTGTACCAGCCCAGGGTGTAATTTACAGCAGCCTCAGGGCTGCTCTTAGTTATGCCAGTTGCGGATCACATCCCAGACAGGGCCCCATCCCAGCATGCCCCTCTTGGAAGGGGGAAGGGTGGCATAGAGCCAGTTTCTTGCCCCCCTACCCTAGGACTCTCCCTGTGTCAGGGTAGGATCCTGGGCAGCACAAAGCCCCCCACCCCCAAGTTGTGAGCTCAGTGAGTTGGTGGCAGGACATGGGATGGACCCAGGAGTCCTGGCTCCCAGTATCCTACTGAGAAAGAAACCAAGGCCTGGGTGGAAAAATGTCGGCTTGGCTGGTGAATTTACCCACCCAG